AACTGTAGCGAAAAATATGTAAGTAGCAAAGTTGTAGGGCTTAATAAAATGTACCTAATAATGGTTAAAAATTTGACTTTGTGGAGGATGAAGGTCATACGAAGGTCAAGTTGAATTTTTTAAATTGGACCCCGCACTTTTTATTACATATTCTTGTAGCTTATTTCAAGGACTTTCCAAAAACCTATAATAAAGTATTTTTTTATTAGGCATATTTAGAGTTATGAGGCTTGAAAGGATTTTGATCTTTAACTGTTTCTGTTTCGTAAAAACGTATTACTGTCTTCTGGACGGTGGATTTAGAAATAAAATTGCGATCAGGATATGCAGCATTGAATGTGTAGATCAGTTACTTCTTCGTATGATCTAATATGGTCTCCAAATTTTCGATAAAGAAATAGCATTATCTTTTCTTTATCGGTTAACATTTTTAAAAAAGAAATTTGAAATTGTAGTTGGAAAAAGAAAGTCATATCGTCTAGCTCGAGACACGAAAAACAAAGTTATTCTTGTTTTTCTCCTGTTTATGTTTTTTAGGCTCCCAGCCTAGTTGTTCATTCGCTCGCATCAAATGCGGTCATTCACGACATAATATCACACGTACTCAGTCAAAACTCACGCATATCCGCGCTTCACAATAACGCTTCTCGATCTTTATATTTTAAAAACGAGTCGTGCTCTCTCGCATCTTACTCTTTGTCTTTTCCCTTTCTTTTTCCAACTACAATTTCAAATTTCTTTTTTAAAAATGTTAATCGATAAAGAAAAGATAATGCTGTTTCTTTATCGAAAATTTGGAGATCATACGAAAAAGTTACTGATCTACACATTCAATGCTGCATATCCTGATCGCAATTTTATTATATATATATATATATATATATATATATATATATATATGTGTGTGTGTGTGTGTGTGTGTGTGTGTGTACATACATATATATATATATATATACAAAACATTATACACACACACACACACAACGTATTGGTAACTATAACTTCTACTACAAAATGAACTCGTGATAATCTGTCCGAGTATTTCTGATCTATAAGCGTATGATACCACGTGATCGAATGAAGATTCATAATAAAACTGCAAATAAAAAATAAATTCCGGGCGGCATTCAAAAATTCTGATATACTAAGAATTCAGCAAAATGATTATTCACATTCGATTTTAATAGTTTGAAATTACATTTTCGGATAACGTTAGTTTTTGCATTTAAGTTTTCGCCCAAAAATAGGAAATATTAATTTACAACAGTTAGAAACCGTTCTTGAGATGGGATCATTTTTACGATCTCTATTACTTCATATTAGATATTCACAAATATGTTAATGTGCACAACGTATTCACAATACGTATTCAACGTATAGAACAATTCATAATATTCCTAACTACTGTAAGTTATTTTGACTATCTCAGGCAAAATGTACAATAAATAATTTGAAAAAATGTGTACATATTTACATACACACGATAGAGATGCACTTCAACTTGTCCTTGTGTACTAAAAATTGGGTTACAAACAGCGGTCTGAGAGTATTATAAGCCTATACAAATATCTCCCTATAAAATTTAAATGCGTCTGAAGAGCCGCGGAGGAATTGTGTAAATATGTTATAAAATCATATTTATTTACAATTTACAAGACCGATAAAGATAACTGTACAAACATGATCGTCGTAATGGCGATGGTGGTTTTTGTATGTCGTTTAAAAAAATCGTAACCACCGTATTAAAACATTGCGTCTGACTTCTAGTTACATGCTGTTATAGCAAATATCTTCTCAGGTAAAATCCGCGAGCACACACACATACGCGGTATGATCTTAGCGCTCTACAACCGAGATCTGCGTGCGTCAATGAAGTTACTACAACATCGCTGAAAGCGTACGCAACGCCAAATGCAGTCTTATTAAAACGCTAGACCGTTGAGGTCACGAATTAATACATAAATATGTACAATTTTTGTACATTTTCGTTAATCATAATTATTTCCGTTAGGATTCCTGAAAATAATTTCAAGACAAGTTATAACATCGCTTTATTGTCAGTTCGGAGCTTCACTTCACCACTTGGCTCTAATACTCCAGTCTTTCGGTGTCCAATGCAAACACTTAGGATCTATCCTGATCTGTCTTTTCTCCATTGCGGTTGCATGTTGCTCGATTATTTCCCTGCAAATAAAGATGTGGATAAGTTGTTGAAAGATCTCACTGATCGGGGAGATTAGTTAATTTTCTTTTGTTGCTATACTGACGAATCAATTACCTATTTAACCTCACGATGTATTGCCCTTTGTAGTAATTAATGAGATTCAAGTTTTGCAAGGTCGATATTACGTCCTCCTTCTTGATCGACGTCAATTCGCAGATTTCGCTTATTGTTATCTGCGGTTTCTCATTTTCCACTACTGGCTTAATGTTCAGGAGGATGTCGAGTATTGTGTGCGCCCAATAACTTCGATATGAGAGAAGACCCAAATCGGAGAGTGGTTTCTCGGGCGAGCCGGTTTTACCTTCGAATTTCGACAGTTCATATGAAAATTCTATCAGGAGCTTGCCGTAGCCTCTCCTCTGATACGGTGGCAGTGTAAGAATGCATGCTACATTGTGATCCTCCGTTGACTCTTTCTCCTTGGAAAAGTAGCCGACTATGTGAAATCCTCTGCTATCAAAGTTCGTCATTACATAGAATAAAAAGGGATCCGTGTCATAATCGAGAGTCTTGTGATCCAGAAATAGCTTCGCTAGTAGGCAAAGATTTTGTGCGTAATTCTTGTTCTTGCGTCCGTCAATTTCGAAGAACGATATAGATCCTTTCCTATATATCTCATTCCCAGGTGGATGACGTAGATTACATTTGACTAAATGCCTCTCCATGCATTTTCGGCTTTTTCTGTACTTCAGGCAGAACTCACAGATATATATACAAGATAAATTTACCATCTCCTGCGGATATGGACTAAAATACCAAGGTTTTATTCTATGGCGACCTAGTTCGATTAGCTCTACATTTTTTATTCGCGTTACTACGTGATGGTGATGTGCAACTAGAGAACCAGTGGGTCTAGGACCCGGTGTTTGTGGTGGGCCATCTTGAGAATCCTCGTTTTCTAAGAAAGCCGCTTTTCTTTTTCTAGACATTTTCTTTTGTAGAGCAGCTTGCAGTACAGCAGAACCATTGACTGGTTCACTGCTGACACTGCTGGGACTGGGAGGCCTGCTGGCTGCCTGTTTTTTTGGAGTCGCCGCACCAGTTCCTGGTGTCGTTCCATCACGACGTGGATACTGGACTTTTCTCGTGTCCAGAGAATCTTCCATAACCCATTCGTCTAATCGTTTGTTGACTAAAATAGCACTTATTTAAGCAATGGTATTGATACTGAGAATCCTCGTACACAACTTAAAACAATTAGAAGATCATTTCTTTAAATTCCTGTATTACCAAGAATGAATACATGAATTGCATATTTTTATGGCTTTAAAATTAATTATATAGTCATAGTAATAAATCTTATTATTATAAAAAGTTAAATACTTCTTCTTGCATATTTGAGTATTTAATAGAAATTTGATAGAGAGAACTGTCCATTTGATATGATCTTTTAGTTGTTTTGTACATTGTGTGAAGATGCTAGGTGATTTACTTACAATCCACATAGTGAACGTAATAACATTTGACACCATGTACTTCTTTGATACTGATGATTTCAGCTAGTGCTATAGATAGAGAACAAAAAGAATCTTTATAAATCTTCACTGTATAAATCTTAATTATACACTAAATATATATCGCACTCTTTCAAAGTGAATATATTTGCACATACACTCATTTGTTGTATATATATAGAAAATTATATTATCCAAAATTATCTCAGATTTAAATGCCATGTATACGATATACAACAATGAAAACTCTTAATATAGGTTTCACAAAATACAAATATGAAAAGGTTAGTGTAACGTAATGAGAATCAATATAAATAATTGCACCAAAACATCTTTAAAATTATCGCAATATTATTTATAAAGATAATGTAAATTGCATATTTATGTTTTGATTCATATTGAGGTAGTTTACAACTAATCTTTAATAATGAATCATAATAATTAATAATGAATCATCTTAGTGATGTCATAGCCAGTAGTCTTCCAAAACACAGAATTACACTTGTTAGTGATAAGATTTCATTTGGAACAAAGACGAAACAAGATACATGTAATTTACTTACGCCAATCGTCCGTGCCGTGCATTTTAACCGGTAAACGGCAGCCTTCGACCAGTGAATTCTGAAAGTTAGGTTAGGAAGTTACGATACCCATGATATTAGCGATTGAAGAATTTCTCCAAGCAAATTACCAATGTTGTCGTATTCAGCATATTGCATTACTCACCACTGAATCGCAGATTGTTTCACGTTCATCGTGCTCCTCGATCATTTTAGTCAAAAATTCGGGAAACTGGTTGCTAAACACAATTTTGTTTTGAAGCGCTCTGAACACTGAGGCCAGCGCCGTATAAAGCGAACTACAAGGCTCGCGACCAAAGAGAGGAGAAAGAGGTAACGCTATTTCAAGAAGCAGTCAAAGCTCCATCTACATTCACTGCCCCGACGAGAGATACACGAGATACGTTTGAAAATCGACAGTCTCACGCGAATTGTGTTTAAGGTGATCAGGTTTTTCAGCCTTAAATTCAGGACACTTCATAAATGTGTGAAGCGGAGGGCGGGGAGAGGGAGGTAAAAAGATCCGAAAATTATTTGACAATCATTGAAAATAATGACAACCCTTATAGAAATATCATACTAAGAATCATTGATAATTACTTATTTTCAGTATTAAAAATACTGGATAATAAGTAATTATCAATGATTCTTAGTATGATATTTCTATAAGGGAAAGCGGTGTCCCGAATAGTATTCGAAAAAATTTGGGACAAAGGGTGAAAAATCGGGACGTCTAGTCACCTTAACTATATGTGTCGAGAAGGGAGGAGATTACTCCATAATGATGTATTTACGATATGTCCTGACGACCGCACGCCGTTGTTTTCGGCACTCTAATACATATTTCCGCAGGAGACTCACAGGACATAAGCGAAAGACGTATGAAATACGGAGCGTTGTGTTCATGACAGTTGCATGAAAAGATCACAGACGCGCGCGCTGTCAATCACGTTACCGACAAGATATTACTAAAAACTGTCAGCCCTGGGTAAATTTTCGACCCGGCCAAAGAGTCCGGAGGAGCCCGGAGGTAATTGAAGAACGATGACAATACCGACCGTTTTTTACACAAAGACGCCTCTGTAACCGTGTTACTACCCTCACGAAAAAAATACGAAAAAACCTTCAATTTTAGGTGTTAACACTCAAATTTAGATGTTTATCTCCAGTTTTTGGGTGTTTACACCCAAAATTGAGGTTTTTTCGTATTTTTTTCGTAAGAGTATACCATCGACATATAGTACTGGACGGAGCATTGTGCCGAAATCGTATTGACAGACGTAGAAAAAAAATCGTATTGACAGACGTAGAAAGAGACAAGACGATATAAATAGGATAACTATCGAATAACTTGCCTATCGAATGAGAATTGAATGGGTCATTTGTTTACTGCTTATTTCTTACCACTACTCCTACTGCCATTGTAGACGACGTATAAAGGGATGTCTACATTGAAAATAAGCAATAAGAAGTAGAAAGTAAGAATAAGAAATTGACCAATTATAGTTGATTATTCTTCTCACATTCGACTGTGGTTGGTCAATTTCTTACTCTTACTTCCTACTTCTTACTACTTATTTCCAATGTAGACGCTCCTTAACACTTTCAAATGTTAAATTTTAAGACGCAAACAGTTTCATTTTAACATTATTTGTAGTTATTTCTAACTATTTACTAACTATTTACTAACTATTTACTAACTATTTACTAACTATTTACTAACTATTTACTAATTATTTCTAACTACTTTATGTTATTCTAACGTCGTACTTTAAGTTGAAATAACATATATAAATGTAGAACAAAATATGTTTGTGTCAAATAATTAACATTTTCAATATTAAAAAATGACTCAATGACTAAATAGGATAAATAGGATAGGTAAGAATATAGGATATAAGAAAAAGGTGAAATATAAAAATGTACGGTCAGATTTCTCGGGGTCGCTAAAGCCCATAAGACCGACGGTCTTTTATAGTACCTCGTCGGTGATCACGTACACCAAAAGTTCATTAGCGCGCCAATCGCGTTCGTTTCGCACTACGAGGTTGTCATCGTGGTTATTCAATCTAGGTGTTGGTAATGAATCGCGCGAAATACTCGATCTTTTCGCGCCAAGCAGCAGCCATGGGCACACATCGATCCACATCGCTCCGCGTTTCTCGCGTCTTTTATCCGTCGAAAGTCAGTCTCGCGCGTTAATAAGTCTCAGGAGTGTCGAGAATAGTGATATGCAATCGCCGGAGCGTATCATAAAGACGTCATTTGTAAGTAATCTTCTCGTTTCTCTTCGCGATATATGCGGCCGGTGCTTGTTGCGACGTGTCGCGCCGACGTCCCTTACATTTGCTAATAATATCGACTCGCTCAAGTAGCAATAGAATCAGGCGATCGTCAAATTTATATTGAATAAAAATAAGAAATGCAATGACAATCAGAAAGAAAGAGAGAGAGATGCGGAATATTCGGGCGGTTGCGTCAGCTTGTTAGGAAAAGAGATACGGAAAGAGAGAAAAGTATTTCATAGAGCGCGTTCTTTTTGGCCGCAGCGCTGTTCATATATTGGCGTATATTTTCAGCGCGATTCAACAATCGCGCGACCATTTTGATTCTCGATCTTTCTACATCAAGAAACTGCCGTGGACACATCGATCGACATCGCTCTGCATTTTACACGTCTTTAACCAGTCGAAAATAAGTCTCGCGCGGAAATAAGTATCGGGAATGTCGAGAATAGTGATGTGCGATCGTCGGGGCGTATACAGTAAAAAATAAAATGTCAGTTTTAACATTTTTTGCATGTCCCAGAAAGCCCACTCTAAATTTTGTGTTAAAATAACATATTCATCGTGAGTCATTTTTTAATATTGAAAATGTTAATTATTTGACACAAACATATTTTGTTCTACATTTATATATGTTGTTTCAACTTAAAGTACGACGTTAGAATAACATAAAGTAGTTAGAAATAATTAGTAAATAGTTAGTAAATAGTTAGTAAATAGTTAGAAATAACTACAAATAATGTTAAAATGAAACTGTTTGCGTCTTAAAATTTAACATTTGAAAGTGTTAAGGAGCGTCTACATTGGAAATAAGTAGTAAGAAGTAGGAAGTAAGAGTAAGAAATTGACCAACCACAGTCGAATGTGAGAAGAATAATCAACTATGATTGGTCAATTTCTTATTCTTACTTTCTACTTCTTATTGCTTATTTTCAATGTAGACATCCCTTTATACGTCGTCTACAATGGCAGTAGGAGTAGTGGTAAGAAATAAGCAGTAAACAAATAACCCATTCAATTCTCACGATTCAAGAATAGTCAATTGTGATTGGTCTATATACTTACTGCTTATTTCTTACCACTATTACTCCTACTGCCATTGTAGACGACGCATTAGGCCCGATCTACAATAAATGGAGTAAGGAGTAGGAGTAGGAGTAAGAAATAAGCAATAAGCAAATTGACCAATTCCATTCTCACGTTTCAAAAATAATCGATTGTGATTGGTCTGTTTACTTACTGCTTATTTCTTACTCCATATATTGTAGATTGGGCCTTACACTTCTTACTTTTACTTCTTACTTTTACTTACTTTTACTAACGATGATCGAATAATCGGTAACAATGAATAACAATACCTGGGCAACGGCTCTAACAAAAACTCTAGACTCCACAAAGGCTAAGTAAACGAACCCTCGTAACAGCCCGCTCGTGCCGCTGACTGAGCGGCGTTGGGGGGGGGGG